TTGTTTTCCTCCGATGGTTTTAAAGACCCCAAGCCCCTAGAATGTACCAGCAACAGAGCTCCAGGATGCATCCAATTTTCACAGAGCCTTCTCCTTTCCTTCATCCTGGCTTCATTCACCTACCCAGCAGCCTGTAAAGTCTTTCACTCCTGGCGTAGGGTAACACCTGCTGTGGCTCCCGGGGTGTGTGTGGGGGGAGGTTTGTCATGGGCACTGGTGGTGCTGGTAGGGCCTCGGGGCACTCACTGGCAGTCTTCCAGCTCCCAGCAGCTAAGGGTGCACATGATCAAGAAGCAGCTGTACCAACAGGATGGTGGCAGCCACCCACATATTGGGTCTCCACAGCCACCTCTCTGTACCCCATGTGCTGCCCTGCCAACCCCAGTGCCCGGATGTGTGCAAAGTCCTGATCTGGCTGCCCATGTAGCCCCTGCAGGGCCCCACTGCTCTTGGCAAAGTCTGCCTCTTATATCCAGTGGATAAAGTTCTCAGCTCTCAGGCTTTGTCCAGTGAGCTCCCATAAGTTTTGTTGTTGTTGTTGTTGTTATTTGCCGTCGAGTTGGCCCCGACTCATAGCGACCCCTCCTTGGGTTTCCAAGGCAGTATCACTACGGAAGTAGGATTGCCCAACCTTCCTTCCGAGGAGTGGCTGGTGGGTTTGAACCGCCAGCCTTCTGGTTAGCAGTTAAGTGCCTTAGGCACTATGCTACCAGAGCTCCTATAAGTTTTAGGGGGATTTAATTAAGAATTGTATGGGGACTGCCTGTATCTAATAAGGTGTTCACATAATGCCCAAATCACATAACGTTCTATTTCACAGAACATATGATATTTCACAGAACATATCCTGGATGTTGAAACATACCTGTATATTTTAAGGAACTGTAATATCCACAGGTAAAATGAAAGCATGGGAATCGCTGTATTAAAGGTATGTGTATTTTAAATTTTGATAAAAAAGTGATAGCCTTCCAGCCAATTCCCACTCAAGCTGTCCAACGTATTTCAGAGAACTGCACTTCACAGGTTTTCATTGACTCTGATCTTTTGGAAGTAGACTGCCAGGCCTTTCTCCCAATGTGCTCTGCTTGGATTCAGACTGCTAACTTTTTGGTTCAGGAGCTCTGGTGGTGTAGTGCCTAAGGCATTTGACTGCTAACCAGGAGGCTGGCTGTTCAAACCCACAAGTCACTCCTGGGAAGGAAGGTTGGGCAATCTACTACTTCCATAGTGACACTGCCTCAGAAACTCAAGGAGGGGTCGCTATGAGTCGGATCCAACTTGACAGCACATAACAACAACAACAACTTTTTAGTTAGTAGTCAAGTGCTTGACCACTAGAAATAACTAAACTATCTTTTGAAATAATTTTTGCTATCTACTTTCATTTTCAAGGAACTCTGGTAGTGTAGTGACTAAGGCACTTGACTGCTAACCAGAAGTCTGGCAGTTCAAACCCACCAGCCACTCCTCGGAAGGAAGGTTGGGCAATCTACTTCCCTAGTGATACCACCTTGGAAACCCAAGGGGGGGTCGTTATGAGTTGGGTCTGACTCGATGGCACATAACAACAACTTGCGTTTCAAAGGAGCCCTGGTAGTGCAGTGGTTAAAGTGCTTGGCTGCTAATGGAAAAGTTGGCTGTTCCCAGCAGCTGTTCCATGGGAGAAAGATGAGGCAGTTTGCTCCCACAGATTACAGCCTTGGACACACTATGGACAGTTCTACTCTGTCCTATAGGGCTGCTATGATTTGGAATTGACTGGACAGGCAATGGGCTTTCCATTTCTAGGAGCCTGGGTAACACAAGTAGTTTGCCATCAGCTTCTAACAGTAAGGTTGGAGGTTTGAAGCTGCCCAGCAGCTTCCCAGAAGAAAGGCCTGGTGAACTGCTTCCATAAAGACTACAGCCAAGAAAACCCTACAGAACAGTTCTACACTGTTAACACATGGGGCTGCTAGAAGTAGGGGCTCACTGGATGACAGCTAACAACTCTGATATTTCTAATAGTGATTTTCCTGCCTCAGGCTGTTGTTGGTGTTGTTGTTGTTATGTGCTTTGAGTCAGACCCGACTCATAGCGACCCCTCCTTGGGTTTCCGAGGTAGTATCACTACAGAAGTAGATTGCCCAACCTTCCTTCCGAGGAGTGGCTAGTGGGTTTGAACCGCCAGCCTTCTGGTTAGCAGTCAAGTGCCTTAGGCACTAGGGAAAAGAAAATTGAGGGCCAGACAACACAACCATCAATGGCTAGCACATAGTTTATTGCTCTTGTGAGCTTTTGTTGATTCAGCCTCTGGTCCTGTACACCTGAACAAAAACATTGTCACATCCTGCACCCACCCTGTGAATGGCTTAGATAGGACCTGAACGTGAAGATTATTTCCATTTTATAGATGAATACAATTAGATTTGAGTTCCAGCTGATCCTTGGCAACAAAAGATGATGCAAACTGCCATCCTGGACTCCAGGTTGGTGGCCTAAGACTCCTGGCCAGACTCAATCAGGGTATAATAAAGGAAGCCCTAAAATGAGCACATTCTTTTTAGGTGACTCCTTCCCTAGCTCCTGTTCACCTTGGCTCTTCTTTCCAGGTGGTCTGAGCATTCTGAGTCTCTTGTGTTTTAGTTTTTGCCCCCACCTACCTCACAAGTAGGAGCTCTGGTAGCATAGTGCCTAAGGCACTTGACTGCTAACCAGAAGGCTGGCGGTTCAAACCCACCAGCCACTCCTCAGAAGGAAGATGGGGTTAATCTACTTTCTTAGAGATACCACCTCGGAAACCTAAGGAGGGGTCGCTATGAGTTAGTCCGACTGGAGGGCACATAACAACCACCACCTCGCAAGTGCGGAAAAACGACTCCTCCTTCTTTTAAGACCTTAGCTCGAGAATGCCATTCCGTACCTTTGGTGAAACTGTGCCTTTTTTCTCTGGAATCTCTCCTCCATTTTTGAGATTGACCTCAGATGTCCAGAGGGTTCGGGAATCCACGGCGGATTTCATCCCCTGGGACAGTTGCTACCCAAGCAGCCAGCTCTGCACTCCAGTGAATCTCATTTCACTGAACTCCCAGTCAATACGGTGAATCCCGCCAGGGAAGCGGAGGTTGTTCCAAAGGCTCTGAAACCCCTTACCAAGCATTGTGTCCCGAGTGTTATTACGCAGTAGCGGGCAGGATTAAACGAATTCGCATTAAGAGGGGAATGACTGAGCCCCGGAATCTTCCTAGAGAGTTTATAATTTAAACGACGCTACTTAGTAATCTGGAAAAAAATGAATGAGGAACCGTAATGTAAATTGAGGAGCTCTGGTAGCATAGTGCCTAAGGCACTTGACTGTTAACCAGAAGGCTGGCGGTTCAAACCCACCAGCCACTCCTCGGAAGGCAGGTTGGGCAATCTACTTCCGTAGTGATACTGCCTCAGAAACCCAAGGAGGGGTCGCTATGAGTCAGGTCTGACTCGCCGGCGGCACGTAACAACAACAATGTAAACTGAGTTGGAGAAGAGTTTTGGGGCTGGGGCACTGAATGCTCTGTGTTCAGGCCCTGTCAGCCTTGGGCATTATCCTACCAGGAGCCCAACGTCCACCAGAGCACGTAGTAGTTGCCAAATAAATAAATGTTTGTTGAATACAGGAAGCTCTCCGTTCCCACCTGGATTGGTCCAGGGCCTAGGAAAGCCTGACCTCTGATAGCCTCCGTCCTCGTGGTCGCCGACCCTTCTAAGCCATTGCAGGGCTCGAGGTGTTTCTCACGACAGGCGACTGAAGTGATCAGATTCAAGTGGCATCCACGTCCAACTGTCCTTAACCCCTAGAGCAGAGGCCAAGGGCAGAGAGCGTCCCTTGGTTGCCTGGCACCCCGCAGTGGGGCGCACCTGGAGTGACTGCGCGCCCCTGGCCCATGCGCGGTGGACGGCAGCCGCTGGTGACCGGGTCCCTTCTCAGACTCAGGCCTGAATCCCCCTACAGGCTAGTGGGTAGGACGAGTCGCGGCGCTCTCGAACCGCGGAACCTGCCTTCTTCCGTCACGAGCCCCGAGGCCTTTCTACTGAGGTCAATAAGGGCCAAGCGCCTTGCAAAGTCCCCGGGAGCGACGCCGCCCCTGGACGCCAAACGAAGACGCTGCCAGCGCTTTCCGTCCTTTTCACACTTTTCCCATTGCCCCAGACCGCCAGTCGGGTCCGGAAGGGGAGCAGGGCGCGGCTTGGGGAGCCTTTGTGCCCTCGGTGTTTGCTGGGACTTTTTCTTCCGAGGAGAGCTTCCCCCACCCTTTTCCTCTCTAAAGTCTTTTGGTTTCCTTAGAAGACGGAAAGAAGTTGAGGAGGTGGCCGAAACTTCCCTTTAGCAATCATTCCCGTCCCTAAACTTTAAAAACCCGAGGCATTTAGCTGTAAGGAGGTATTTGGAGCCAAGGGGAGGGAGCGGGCAGTGCCTTCCAAGAGTCTTCCCTCCTACCTCCTCCTTGGGCTCCCCTCCCCCGCTTCTTGCCGCCTAGCAGCGCGCCACGGCAGCTACAGGGTTAAGCCCTGGAATGCGGCGGCTAGGAATGTGCATGCAGATGAGCCCAGCGGAGGGAGGAGCGGGCGGGGGAGGGTCTGGGCGCTTGTTAATCGTATGCAAATGAGGAGGTCCGTAGCCGCCGCACAGCTCCGCCAAGCTTCTCGGATCCGAGCCCAGAAGGCGGCGGCTGCGGCAGCCTGGACGCCGCGACCCTCGGTGGCCACAGGGGTACGAGGAGGAGGAGGAAGAGGCGGAGGCAGCAGCGGCGGCGGCAGGGAGGAGGAGGGTTCGCTCTACTGTTCCGACGCAGACATGGTGGACTGATCCCGAGCCGGGCCGAGAGTAGGGCTTCCTGAGCCGGCCCCTCGCGTGGCCCCACCGCGCCCGGAGCCCGCAGCCCCTCGCTGGCGCCCGCGTCGGGCCGGGCAATCGCGTTCCCGCCGCGTCCCGCGCCGGGTCCCTATGGAGGCGCCGCTCGCCGGCGAGGCCGCCGACCATGCCTAGGAGGGCCGGGAGCGGGCAGTTGCCGCTACCCCGGGGCTGGGAGGAAGCAAGGGACTACGACGGCAAGGTTTTCTATATCGACCACAACACCAGGAAGACCAGCTGGATAGACCCCCGGGACAGGTGGGCGGCAGGGCCGAACGGGCGGCGGGTGGGCGCGGGACCCGCCTCGGGAGCAGGGTGGCGGCTGTTGTCGGGGAGACCCAGCCGCAGCAGCCGCGCGGGGGGCGTGGGGCGGCGCCGGCCCCGGGGTGCCTGAGGGGTTCCGGGGAGGAGGCGCGGGACGGTGTTCCCGAGCCGGGGCTGTGCCAGCCAGCCAGGCGCCGTGCAGGAGCCGGTTAGAGCCGCCCCTTCCAAGGCCCCGTTGCTTACCCGGTTCTCAACGCTCCCTGGGACCTTTAGATCTGGTCCCTAGGGAAGGGTGGAATTGGCGCCCCTCGGCTGACACTCTGTGTCCAGTTAACGGACCCAGAAGGACCACCTGAACCCAGTGCCGAGCTCGCCTCTCCCTAAAGTTGGGCACATTGAGGTTGGAGAGCAACTTCAGCCTCTGGGAGGCGGGGGGTGGGCTCGGAGCCTCCTACGGGAGGCCTAAGTGCAGAATGGTGAACCAGACATCTAGGCCACCTGTGGCATCTCCCTGGTGGTCCTTGGCTCTCCATCTTTGACTTGCACGTTCTCACCCGGACGCAACACCGGTCAGGCTGTCCGGGCTGCTGGTGCTCTTGGACATGGAGAAGGGCCCTGGGTAATGGGTATAACTGGCTCTGACCTTCAGATTTTAGAAGCGTTTGCCTTGGGATGTTTATTCTTCACCTAAAAACTTGGACTTCCAGATTCTGTTTTGATGTAGTAAGTGGTGAAATGAACATTGGAACGGGACCTTGGGTGATAAAGAACCCCTAACTTGAGTCTTAGCTTGATTTCTTTTAGTTCACCACACACACTTTTTATTCCCTCTGGAAAGTGAAGAAAAGAGGCAAAACAAAATCATCACCCAAGAAGTTCAGGAACTGAAGTTTAGCTGAAGTTCACAGATGTTCGTCTGTTGTATCTTTTTAACATCAAAAGAAGAGTTTCGTATAATTAATTGATTAAGGAGGTATTCCTAATTGTAACTTTAAGTAATACATCAATGGGAATAACTCGTGTTTGGACCTTTATCATTTCTGAAACTATTTTCCTCTGTCCGTGGAATCTGGCCTTAGGGATATATTACCTTTTTAGGTGCTTCCCTTCTCTTATTTTGAAGCTGACATAGTTTCATACTTTATATTCTTAGTTGTTTTTGCCCTCAGAATATTTGTTTTGAAAGCTATTAAAAAGCAATTATAAGAAAAACATAAATGACATTATAAATTTATGGAACAATCCTTGTTAAATTATCCATGAAGGTATCGGTTTAGATTTCCCTCCTGAAATGAGAAAGGGCACCTGTGCCGAAGTTCCATCTTGTCACAGGCTGGCTGCCTGTTGCTCGCCTGATGAAAGTTATGACAAGCATCACACCTTCACAGTCTCTCCAGACGTGTTCACTATTGTCATAAACTTCATGCTGCAAACCAGTTATTTGACTTATGCCATTGCACTTTGAAACTACTTAACAGATAGTAAATGTCAGTGCTGATGGTGTGCACCCAACAGTGGCTTTTAAGGCACCTGTATAAATATTTGACTTTTACAGTTGTGTGGTAATTCTTACTGCTTTTTGATACTTGGAGTATCAAGTTACTGAAATTGCAATAAATTCTTGAAATATTTAGGCATTTTAGGTTCTTGCCTGCTTTAGTTTACATATTTTATTTTATCACCTCATTTGTGTTTACCAAAAGGATACACGAGTATGTAATACCTGCACAGAGCAAATAGAAAGGGAAGTAATTTAAAATTATATGACTTGGCTCTCCATGTCACTATTCCTTAAACAAGTTAAACATCCCTATTATTTTTTATGAAACTGGGTAATCAGTTCATTTGATGGGGCCAAACAGATTTGACTAAGATGGTTTGCTATTCCAGTTTTCCTTGAAGCTGTTTGTAGATACAAATTTAACTGGTTGGACATATTTCTGGGTTTGAGTATGAGAACTTTCAAAGGTATTCTGAGATCAGGATCACCATGACACAGTTTAATTTTTTTTTTAGTATAATTAAGTGACTGTAAATCTTGCTAAATAGTGTAAGAATTGGGAGAGAATGTTTGGAGTAACTATTAACTCTTGTCAATTTTGTTACACACTGTTACCAAACATATGGAAAGGGAGAAGCTTCACAGGCCAATTGGAGTGTGTGAATTCTCCTACAGGATCAAATTACAGATCCTGAAAGAAAACTGACTTAATATACTGTGGGTCTGCAGTACTTTTGAACTTTTAAAGTCATTTGATTAAAATGGTTATGATGCTTTACCCAGTCATGTTTGTTATATTGTCTATTAAAGGAAAAAAGAATTTTGTATTTTTGGTAGTTTATCAATATGTGAGGTATTTCTGATTGAATAGACAATTATGCTGATTGTGGGATAGTGGGATGGTGGCTGTAGGATGCTACAGGAATGATTTCCTTCAGTAAGTGATTATAGTACACTGAAATAGCACTTAAAAGTACTTTTCAGCTTTTGGAGCTAGATAACATAATGGCAGACTTTGCTGGGATGTCATGAAAACCACTCCTTATTAACTGAGTAAGGTTAGATGAGTTTCTAAATTCCTCTAAACATCCACTTTTCACCTCTAACATGAGAGTAATATGACCTACCTCAGGGTTGTTTGTGAGCTCCTAACTAGGACTCAGCCAAATGGAAGTAGCTACAGTGTAGCCATTCCAATTTAGGAAATGGGTGATAGTTCAGTTTACCTCTGAAAATGCTAGACATAGTGACATATTTATTAGGTATTTATTGTGTGCTAGCCACTATGCTAAGCTCTTTAACTGTGGCTTTGTTTTATTCTCCCAATTGTCCTTTGAAGTAGGTGCTACTAGTCCAGTATCTGTCATAGAGAGATTGCCATTGCTGTTAAGTGTGGAGCCAGGATTTAAAGCCCAACAGTCTCACTCTTGAACCTGTTTGGTTAACACTTCTGTGGACTGCCTCAACACCTGCCATACTCAGGGATCTTTGGATGGAGCACACAGAAGGGCAGAATCTTTTTGCCCAGTTTTGATTTTGCATGCTGATTATCTAGTGTTTGTGGGCCTTCTGAGGTCCTTGAGTTTTCACATTCTGTGATTCTGGAGTCAGTCACAAAAGGGTCTGATTCATGAATGCCTTGGGATGGAGGTATGGGTGGAGGGTGGTAATCAAGTTAACTCCATTAAACTGCAGAGTAGATCCAGGTGGAACTTGGAACTTCAGTGTACTCTGGGACATATTAGAAGTTCCATTCTGGGATGAGTTAAGGTTTTCTGCCTCTCTGAATAGATTACAATTTTATTGTACCAGTCTTGACTTTACTCCTCCTCAGCCCCTACCCCACTTAGTAATCCTGGAGAAAGTCTCCTGCCGGTGATTCCTTGGACCACTCCCTTGAGATTTGTTAGTTTGTAGTTCTACCCCCCCTCACCTCTTATTTTGCAGACCATGGACACCAGTTGGTGTTTATGGTGGGCCATAGTTCATGGCAAGATGGTCTGGTGCTTAAAAAAAAAACAACTATAGATGGTGGTGATGGATGCCCAACATAGTGAGCATAATTAATGTCACTGAATAATAATATATGGGAAAAATGTTGAAATAGCAAATGTTTTGTTACATGTTACAATGTTTTGTTACTTATTGCACATTTGAAAAAACCAGTATGTATATTCAATGTAGGGAAAAAAGGTGGAGTATATTCCCTGCCTCTTAAGAGGGGGAGTAGGAGGCTGAGGTGCCTGGGCCTTTTTTTTTTTTTTTTTTAATTCCAGTAGAATTTTGCTTATTTTCTATCCTTAGATTGATTGCTGCCCAGAGAAATAATAACAGCTTTGTCTAGTTGTACTTAAAAGTTTTGCCACTGTACAGAGTGACTTTATCTTAAAACCTGCTGGTGGATCCTATTTTTGGCTTGGGGCTAGGGTCAGATGTAGAGAAACATGTACTTTCTTATTGAAGAGAAGAAATCCTAGGTGGTGGGGAAGGTGAGAATGAGGAAGAGGGGAATATCGACTGAGTATCACTGATGACTAAGTTAATTTTGGCTCTCTAGGTCCTGTTTGTGTCATGTGGTTAGCATCTGAGGAGTTCTGGATTGTCTTTCTTTCAAAGCAAGTAATTTATCTAAACCCACTGCTGGAGTGTGAACTCCTCAAGAGTCCAAACTCTTTATTAAAACCAAACCAGTTGCCATTGAATCCATTCCAACTCATGGTGATCTCATGTGTGTCAGGGTAGGACTGTACTACTTAAGGTTTTCAGTAGCTATTGTTTCAGAAGTCGATCACCAGACCTTTTTTCTGAGGTACCCCTGGGTAGAATCAAATTTCCAGCCTTTCCGTTACCAGCTGAATACATAATCATTTATTCGCACCATCTACACTTTATTACTGCTTTCTGTGTTTAACATAAACCAAAAAACCAAACTCACTGCCGTTGTGTAGATTCTGACTCATAGTATCCCCCTTTGGGGTTCCAAGGTGGTAAATCTTATGGAAGTAGATTGCCCAGTCAGTCTTTCTTCCATGGAGTGGCTGGTGGATTTGAAGTGCCAACTTCCTTGTTAGCAGTCAGATGCTTTAGGCACTACGCCATCAGAGCTCCTTGTGTTTAACATGGTAGATATTAAATGAATGCAAGTTAATTCAATTAATGAAGTATGCTTGCCAAATTTATGAAAGAATAGTAGTTGAACTACACTTATATTTCCAGTCTCTTATTGGTAGGCTTTCAAAGAATATAACCACGTAAACAGAAGGAAATAAATAAAAACAAAAAGCATACTCAAAACCAGCAATAGGTGCAATTGATTTTCCAATTAGATGAGAAATAATGAGAATTAAGCTACGACATTTTGAGTAGTAGTATAGATATATGAGTTGAGTTACTTGTAAGAACAAAGACAACAAAATCAACTCTGATAGTTTTAATCACAACTGTTCCACTCCAGCAGGCTCAAAGTCTGGATGCCAAGTGGTTACTGTGAATT